TGTACGCCTGCAATTGCCTTGCTTAAGCTCCCGAAAATTGCGATACCCGTAGCGCTTATTGTAGCGGTTTTGTAATTTGTGGTTGTTGTACCGGAATGCTGTCATCTGGAGTTTCTACCGGCTCGCCAGACCAACGAAGCCGATCCTTTCCTTTTATTCTGCTCGTGGACACCATAACGTTTTCGAGCGTAAGTCCCTAAAACATTATTTCTGATTTGCATTCAGTGTCCTAATTTCTAACTGTCTTCGCTTTACATTAGCTTGGTTTAACAACCTTTTAAACTTTGAATTCTTAAGTTGTTGTTTCGGCAATTTCTGTGGACGCATGCTAATTTGAATTGGTTCCTATTTGAGATCGCTCAAAAATTTCCAGAGAATCCGACCAAAAAATTGATAATTTTTTTCATTATGAAGTTTGACGCTACAAATTTCGACTTTGCAAAAACACTTTTCTACGAAAAGCAAGAAATTTTGAAGAAAAAAAGACAAGAACTAGTGTTTCGACAAGGCAAAAAATGGCTAACAAGTCAGCAAGGTAAGTATAATATTTGTAAATAAGTAAGCAAGTGATTTAATTGATATCTAAACAGGAATACCTAGGTTTAAATGGAAATAAAAAATATATTATTTTGGGCGTGGGACCGTTCGAAATTTTATGATTCAATTTCACTCACTTGGCATTTGTGGACGGGATGTCGTGCATTTAGATGCATGCTTGCATACTTGGTGAGTGCCCGTTTTTACATCTGAAAAAAAACGTTTGGAAAGGCACGGCATAACTTACGTTTTAAATTTAGAATTTTACATCAAAGTATCGATCATTTTGAGATGACCGTGAAGAGAATGCCTTTTTATGAAGGCATTGGGAGCTTGGAGAAATTCCCAGCAAGCCGAGGCGCAGCCTGAAATGCAAAATATTGAGCAAGAGCTCCTGGATTTGACAGCACCATAAAACAAACAATAAAACTGTCGGGATATTTTAAATTAAGATGGAAAATTCATTAGCACTAAAAGATACGTGATTTTTAGTGACTAAAAAACCGAAAAATATTCATAAGATTAAAAATATCGTCAAAAAGGGGTACCTGCCAAAATTTCAAAATACGGTTGTTTTAATGACGGTACGGAAAATTGTATACTAATTGTAATTGTATGCTAGTATTGTACGCTAAGCTACGCTAGAATGTCTTTAGCACAAGATGCGAAACGGGTCTTGTGAAGACCGGCTAGAATGACATCGGATTTTAACTCATAAATCTACATAGAATTATTATAAAACCAACATGGACAGTAGAAACTAAAGTAAACGGTGGCTAAGATCTCTAAATTCATAAAATGGCGAGAATAGTCCGTAAATAAGATGAAGCAGGCTGTCCTGCTGCTCCTTATCAGACTACAACAGATGTGCGCGCTGCTTATCTCGCGGGCTTTTTTTTTTGATAACCCTCCAGATAAGGCACTATTGGCTTGTTTATGGTGGATAGGGTACTCACGGCCAGGATTTCTTATCACGCTCACCCGAGTAATTCAAAAATGTCTCTGTCCTCTGACCCCGAGACATCTGCTAATATGGAGAAAGAATTCCAGAGTGCATTTTCGACGTGTTCGAGCATTAATGGCGTCGTAGACTTACTATAGATCCATCGTAAAAATAGTTAATAAGTTGTTTTGTGTTTTCTTTTACTATTAAAACTAAAACTAGGCTTGATAGCTCCAACAGAACGTTTGATTTTAAAGATGATGGAATTAAAAATTGTCAAACCAAGACTTAAGAGTTAAGTTACGGAAATATTTTAAGGATTAGTCGGATTGCTTCCACAGTGTGTGTCAAAACGATAGACATTTGAACGCTATTATCTCGGCCCTCGTCGAGTTTGACGTCAAATGAACTAGCAGGGATTGTAGTGCTCGCAAAGGCGCATTTTTCCATCTACTTGAAGTTTTTTTAAAATAGAGCCGTCTCATTTTATAAGCATGAGGACAACATAGGGCCAAAACCAGTTTTTTACGGCTTACAGTTTTTCGTAAGCATATTAAAAACGTAGTTTTACGGCCCATCAGTTATGTCCTTGCGCTATGCTATTTTTATTATCCGAATCACGTTCTAAAATAAATAAATAAAACGTTTTAGCATCTTGCAATAAATAGCTTAAATCTAGGTCAAGGGATCTAAACGACGACATTAGTGCTTAAATAGGTTTATCATTAGTGTCCGCGGAGGCTCAATCTCCATACGAACAGATGTCTAGGCAAGACATCGAGAGGGATCCCAGGACCTGATAAGAAATCCTGGCCTTGGGTGCCCCGTCCGTTTATGGTCCCGTCTGAACATCAATGACATCTGGACGCATTGTCGGTATAGCTTCTCTAGCTGGTCGGCTCGAACCGGAGGATGCGTATTATTCAGCTCCTAACATCCAACAGTACTTGTTTTTCTCTTGTTTTTATATTCGGGTTTTATTAAAACTTTAGCAACACATCATCATCACAATGAGTCATCATACCCCGATTCGAATGGTCGCTAATCCACCTGATCATCGAGATAGGGCCGTAATATAGAGAAAAAGAGAGAGCGAGCGAGCGAGCGAGAGAGAAAGAAAGAGAGGGAGAGAGAGAGAGAGAGAGAGAGAGAGAGAGCGAGCGAGAGAGCGAGCGAGCGAGAGAGCAAGAGAGAGTGAGAGATAGCGCGAAAGACAGAGGGCGTGAGAGTGCGTCAGAGAGATGGCGAGAGAGGGAGAGACATAGCGAGAGTGAGAGACACTCCAGTTTGCAGGCCGTTTCAAATATTGTTTTCAATAAAGCTGTACATTTCTGGTCCGTTTTCTCGGTTCCTAAAATCTAGCTTTCTTTTTCAATTTATTATACACTTTTCGAATTGCCTTACTTTTGATATTGTTGTTTTATAGGCTTCTCCAGGCAAAACCACTTTTTTTCAGTCGCCATTAAAAACTGGTCCTCTTTTAAGAGCAACCTAAAAAACTGACTGTTGCCAGCAGATTGTCCTTTTATGGTTCGCCAATCAGGATGGAGGTCCAAAAAGGGCTTCCATAGCACTTACCATCTGTCGGGGGATTAAAAAGGGCAAAGCTGAGGGGCCCGAGCTGATCCCATTGTCTGGCATTCCATGGCCGTCCACTTGACACAGATACCTTTTTGCATGAACCATTATTCTTTCATACCGTCTTTGCGTTTTTGGTAATCTTTTTGCCTTTCTAGTATGTTTAACCTTTCCAATTCCGCCTTTCGGATTCGGTTTGGCAATTTTTTTGCTTGATGCTACTTCACACGAATCTAACACCTCTTTCAAGTACCTTTTTCAGGTCACGCTCATCTTGTGGTAATTTCTCCAAGCCGAACGCCGTCTTTATTGGCGCCGCTATTTTCCCATGCTTAAATCTATAGATCAAAATTAAGCTTATATTCCATATTCCGGCAGATAAAAACTGCTACCTCAATATTATTGGGCTGGTTATTTTCTGTCCTGGAAACCTTGCCTAGTCACCTGAATGGTTCATCAAAGTACTCATCAGGCACACGAATTACTTGGTCTTGGCCGTCCTGAGCTCCGTGCCTCTTATTGGCCGTCGAGTTCAACTCTGTACATTATGACCATGTGCTATCATTATCCGATCTAGTGCTAAAAACGGAGCTGCCCATTCTGCGGCAGGCATCAAGTCCTGAAATAGAATCGGAATCTAACAAAAATACTGCTTAAATAACTTATCGGAACGGTGCCGGGGCAGTAAATTCAGGCCTCAAGGGGGACAAGGCATCACTACCCCTTCCGTTGATCTTGAGCTCGATCAGCGACGGGCAACCTCCGGAAAATCGTTTAGAGATCGAGCTACCCAGTTGTGGCTAGTAAACGACTCTATAATTATACTGTAGTTTGCAAACTACGTTAAACACCTCAAATCAGCCAAGCGGGCCACACATGGTTAAGCTGCCCGATCGAGGGTTTTGGCTGGGAAGAGTGCAGCGGGCGAGTGAGGACAACACCGTGACTTTTTGACTTTAGTCTTAATGCGCTAATAGACGAATTTCACACTTTTTATACCTCCTCAAAATCATTAAATTCACAAATCTCAATCTGAAAACATTAGCAAGTCTGAACGGGCTATAGAAGTGAACCATGATAAAAAGGCTGATTTTGAATCACAAGGTGGTACCTTGTTTATCTTAAAGACCGTCAGAACGATGAAATTCCGTTGAGAGCAAGAAAGTTGCGCACCGGGCGGGAGTCGAACCCGCGATGGTTCGCTCCACCGTCCGACGCGCTAGCCACTACACCACAGGGCCAAGTGGGGAGGGGAGTCAGAGACGCCCCAAACCCCAGAGGGCCTTTGCCCAGTACGGGGCACCACTAATGACGCATCTCTCCGCGCGTTCTTGGGGGCAGCACCCTCGGGGTGACAGTGCGCGTTCCATCGTTCTGGTAGTCTTTAAGCTAGGCGAGCAAAATTGAAGGCTCTTTCCAGCTTCGTCCACATAGTTTAATTTTCAGAATCTACGCTGTGCGGCTAATACAAACGCTCGAATCGCCCATCTACCGCCAATCTCTCAAATTTTGAATAAGAAACCAGCCGGATTTACTGCGGAATAAATCATTCGTCTAGCTGGCTTGCGGATTCATCTAAAAAATGCATATAATTTTCGAACGACCAAGACTAAAAAAATCTTGAAAACTGCTATAATCGGGCAGCATGAAGCAAATAAGAAAATTCGTAGGCTTCAAAGGTCGTTTTCTAAATTACGCTTATTCTAGGACATCTAGCATCCCGAGTAGCTTATCAGCCCTGGAAACCTTGCCTTCTCTTGGGAAAGCCGAAAAAAATCGATACCCAATTTCTTGCGCTACAAAATCCTGGTGTCCCACGGGCCGGCTCCTCGCCAAAATGGCGCCGATTTCTCTGTTTTCTGACCTATCTACCCGTATTTTTATCCGAACGATTTCAATTTTTTGCTCTAGGGCCTTTTGCAACTGTTTAACCATACGAAAAATGGATTATGGTGAGGAAATCGGCGCCGGCACCTATGGCGTTGTTTATTTGTGGCGCGATGGCAATGAGTATATTTATTTTTTCTAAAAATATTTTTTTACAGTGCTGTGATAGTAAAACGACCGCAAACACGTGGTCGCTATCACGAATTCCGAGAAGAATTACTGATTTTGAAGAAATTTGCGCACCCAAATATTGTCAAGTATCGGGACCGTCCGGTTAATTACAAAGTCGCTTCCGAGGATTTGTTAATATTTATGGAGTATTGTGAGCATCATTCTTTGGGAAATGGTAAGAACTTGGTTTATTTAAATTTTCAGGAATTTTATAAAACCCTTAACAAGCATCTAACCTTGTAGTTGGGGCTTGGTTATAGAAAAAATCCTATTTTTTTTTAGATTCTGTGTTTAGTTTATTTTAGTAATCAAATCGCCTCAATACGTCTACCACCTCAACAATATCATACAATGGTTGAATCATATTTTCTGCGGTCTGGAGTATTTATACATGCAGAAGACGGTGCACGGAGATTTGAAGCCGGAGAAGTAATCTTTGAAGTTTCATGAAGCCCAAATTTTTTTAGCATTTTCGTGGACAAAGACTTCGTGTTGAAACTCGGTGACTTCGGGAGCCTCAAACAGCTCGGCGATTCCACTGAATTGCACGAAGCTTTGCAAGTCGGCACCCTGGGATATATGGCGCCGGAGTACTCTTGCATGGTCGTATCCGAGCTGACTTCGGAGGTATCGTTTAAGTTCAAATTTCGTAATTGTGAGACCCGGGTTTTCCGTAGCTATAAAAAGGGATGGAAATGGCAAATAAGACTAAGAAGAAAATAAGAAAATAAAACTTTGACTTTGGCGTCATTTGGACGGTGATCGTCAGGAACTTCGAATTCAAGTGTTTACGCCTTATTGGTGTGCAAAGTTCCTCGGCGTACTCCGTTTTTCGGGCCGAAACACAATTTTTGACAGTTCCTTGCCCCTTTAACGTAATTTTTTTAAGAACGCTACAAGGCTGACGTCTACAGTTCCGGGATCGTGCTTATGGAAATCGTCAATCGTCGGCAAGGCCTTATAAAATCCCTAAAAATTTGAGCAACGTTCAGAAACCACATTCCAAATACCGAGGTTGTTTTCGACTTCGGCGTGCCGGACTACCTACAGGAAATACTAACTTTGTAAGACATAGAGACAAAACGGCAGTGGAAGAATTAGGTGCACTGCTTCTGTCGATCAACGCGCTAATTGTGGCGATGTACTGCAAAAAGTCCAAAGCCACTTGAGCCAGGTATGTTTAGGTCAAGCAACAAAGGTTAACTACTTACCTACAGACACCATGCGACCCTCCCGAAATTTGTAGGAAGCAAGCATGGCTGGTGAAACCGGTTGGGCTTGATGGCTCCAATCTGAAACTACCGATACCGTGTGAAAAGCCAGAAGACGAGACGCCGAATAGTTGGGCACTGAACAGCAGGTTCTCTGAAGCTCGCAAGCCGGAAGCCAATGAAGCCGGCGAGCAAGGTTATGCTCCTTTCGACGATCTAGTAGAAAAAGCAAAGGCCACAACGAGCTTCCACTCACGCATTATTCGTCACCGGTATCTGCCGGCAGCCCTGAAAAACTTGAGAGAAATTTACGAATTCTCGAAGGAATGGCTTCGCGAACGGGATGTAAATCAAATCAGAGCTTCCTTAGCAAAAGTTGCAACCGAATACCTTGAAAAGGTTACAGACAAAAAGGATTTTGTCGAGAAAATCAGCGAATATCGAGGCTTCCTCGAGCACAACCCATTGGGTGATTTGCTGGAATGGCAAGAGCTCCGCTCGGGACCGATCAATAGCAGGCATGTTTTGATCAAAATAAATTATGGGTTTCTAGAACTTCGACGTCGCACGTCAGTTTCCTGACATCCTTTGCGCGGGACAAATGGCCAAATTTGGGAGGTGACGAAGGTGAGCCTTGATTTGCGCAATTCAACAAAATTTCGCCTACTAATACAAGGTTATGCTAAAAATCGCAAGCAAAGAACCGAAGTTAGCATCATCCTGCTCCTGTGTTTCGAACCCTCCAGAAAAGAGCTCTGACAAAGCTTTGATGAATGTTTGAATTCTGAAAGAAACTCGGCGGTTGATTTTGTAAAATGGCTTTTTTTGGAAAATTTAGTTTAATTTTAGAAATACAAACTTCGAAACTTTTAATTTAGAAACTCAAAGGCATACCCGTCTTGCTCCAGGCCGTTTACTGTTAGCCGTTATACAACGCCGTTTTTACGCGTTGGATTTAATAAGCTAGCCATTTACACAGCAAAATCACCGGGCAAAGTTCAGAATTGGATTCCCCATCGATAGCGCTTTCCGTTTTTTCGTTTGCCGAATGGGTCGAAAAAACCACCCCTTATAAGTTTAGCGACCGGCCGCGCCGCGAACTCCCTGATGCCCCTCGTCAGGCTCGACTATTTCATCCAACTCCACTGCATGATCTCGGCCCTCGAAGTGATCGCACTTTGCAAGGAGACACGGCATCGGCTGGCTTCCCTCGATCTCTACAAGCTGACCACGATTGCGTTAACCAACGTGGAACAACTTGATGGAATTTTTACAAAACGGTAACGTGTGTCGTCCTTCATATAACCAGGCACTCTCAGCTTGAAGCTGCCCATACTGCTCTATAAACAACCACAAGATCAATGGTACGAGGTGGTCCCGATGAAAATGGTGTTCCGGACCGACCTGAGCGCTGCCCAACCAAAATGGCCAGATGATCATGAGGTCCGGAAGGCGCAGGACGCGCCATTAGGTTGAGTTTTGAGAACAACTTATCCTTCGATTATCCAGATATTGAAACCATCAGACGAGCGTTGATCGTCGAAATGACGGCACTTTGTCACCCAAACCCGTTCCAAGGCCAGGCTTATCCGAGGATGCAGCTAGATCGCTTTTTTTGGGAATTCCGCGATCGCCTTGAGCTGAAGCTTACTACCGTTTGTCTTTGATCCTACGCCGGAACGCGTCAAAGCTTTCAGGAGGATACGCAAAAATGCAAAGTACACAACGTTGAGGGAGTTTTGCAGAAGCATCGCGAAGCCTGTGGCGAGGATCTTATGAAAGTAAATTTTGGTCAAAAATTGTGGTGGTCGCTTCAGTGCCCCTCAATTAACTATGGGAAATAAGATAGTGGAGTTTGTCAAATATTACCTTTAGCGCTACCTATTTTTCCTGGATGAGCCGCCAATGTTTCCATGTTCTCACGAGGCCGATTGTCCGAGGGCGGGTGGGTACCTTCGTGTAACTTTTACAAGAAAAATAGGTTACCCAACCGATGTGCCGAAAGAGCTGCAGCACCAGTATCACCCTTGTAGCAATGCCGAGCACTTTAAATTCCTGAAAGCGCACTCCGCCATGAATCGAGCGATCCGTTACTTTTCCATGCTTGACTATCCGTCCAGTTGCAATCGTCCGCTTATATTTCTGCTGGATGATCTGCTGCGAGAGGTTTCAGAGGCAGAGGTATGATTCGGAAAATTTTGAAAATCGCTGAAATCAGATCCTTTAAAACCGGTACCAGTAATCTCCAGGGTCTCAAAAAATCAGAACCTAAATTTGCGATTCTCTAAATGTCGGAATCTCAGAATTTGAGGATCTCTGAATTTCAGAATGTCAAGAGTCCTTTGTTCAAATTATATGCAAATTTTAGTCATACTTTCGAAACTCACGCACGTTTACCGAAAAGCACCTTTGAAGACTTGTCTGGGGTAGTGTTTCGCGCTCACCCGGAAAAACGCCATAATAAATCATGAGTATCTCCGCTCTTTTATTTGCAGCCAATTTCAGGATTTCCTTGTGTATTTTTTTCGGCGGCAGAATAAAAACTGACCCTAAAAACATTCTCAAAGGCGGCTTTGGTGAAAGTGGGGCACAGTTTCAATTTGCGCCAAAATCTATTTTTGCGCGAAACTTGTCAGGTTTCGAGATCCAGGAAGTTAGGGATTCTGATTTTTGGAGTTATTCCGTCTGTTCAGTTGGATGATATCGCATTCAACTGCTTGACGGCAACAACAACACGCGAACATCGCTCTGCGGTCTCGCAGGAGTTTATCCCACCTGAGCCGAATTCGGACGTTCCAAGCCGCCGCAGTGGAATTGTCAACCATGTGAAGAAAGTGAAAAACCGTCCGTGCGACGTCCTGCCTGGATATCTGATCCAGGCGCCAACGAAAAACGACACTGTGCTTTGGGGACTTCGTTTGGGCAAAGCGCCTGTACGCGCAGGCCTCGACTTGGACTTGACAGGTCGAGAACCTTTTTTTAGTATCGATTTTTGCGACTCATCAATTACCACTAATTTCTAGGTGTCGCTCAGCTGAAATTTTCGGACATTCGCCCAATTCTGGAGACGCTCAAAGATGAGTTGAAGGATTGGGACGATCGGTTGCTAATGGATGAAAGAAGGCTCGGAAGCGACTTTAGTACGCCTTCAACCATGGTTCCATCAGACAGTATTTCTAGTTCTTGGTAACGAATGGCGAGCGATACGGCAGCAAGAGTATGAGCGAAGGATGGAGGAATTTTTAGAAAAATTAGAAAAGCTCGCATCCTTCTCTGCTGGTCTGTTTATTTTGGCTCCTGTTAGCCCGTTTTAGAGAAACCTACGCTTCGCGAGAGGTGGAAAAACTGGTGGAACTCTCGATGAGGTTTTTGGAATATGATATTTCCGAAATTTAGTGGCACTGCATAAAGATTTCAAAGACCACCCAATTCTCAATTAGAACACGCAAGCGAATGCTTTGAATTTTGGAGGACCATAGTATGTAGGCAAGGTGTGGCATCTTCTATTGAATATTTATCCGACACAAACGCGCTCTGTTTAGATTTGAGCAGAAACGATTAGAATATGTTTTCATCGGGGATTCCGATTTGTCTGAGAGGATGTTCATAGCTCCCCAGGTTGCTTCGATCATCTGTGCGCCACTTCCCAATCCGCGTGGACCTCTTCAAGACGTTTCTATGACCAGTCCCATCCGTCAGATCCGAGCAACATGTCTGAAAGATGCTTAGTTAGAACAATTTCAAAGGCCAGGAAACGCAGCTAATGTAATTGCTACGAACCACTTTTTCTGAGTTGCCTCCGTGTAACAAGATTTATATAAAAAAACGCAATAACATTTTTAAATGTCGCAACAAATCGGTTATAGAAAGAGGTTATGGGTTAAATTGAAGCCGAAGCTATCTAACAAAGAAAATGCTTACCTTGACGGCGAAGCTTTTCGCAGGCCGCTAACCAAGCCCGTGAACCATGAGTTTTCCTTGAGGGACAAGGCCATGCAACTGTAATACTTTGTCGCGGATTGGAAGATTCGCAAAATGGTCCAAATAGCGTTAAAATGTTGTGGTTGTTGGTATTCCTTTCCACACCGTCCTTAGGCCATCTAATATGTACGTTCATGTTTCCCATGGGTATCAAAACTCCATTATCAGTACCTGCAAAAGAATTCTTACAAAAATAAATTAAAGATAAGGTAAGGTAAGCTATAATACACAAAAAAAATCAGATAACATACCACAAAGTGATGGAATCGCCAAAAATTCATCCAAAAACTTACCCATGATTTCAGATTTCAACATCTAAAACAAGTTCAAAACGATCCAAACTGGTGGCGCCCTTTTTGAAGGCACCGTTTCTGGAGCAATCCACCAAGTCGAGCATCACCTGAAAAAAACGATGGAAAACAATAAAAAATGATAGATATTTTGCCAAAAGCACAAAAAAACAAAAAAAAAACGTTTAATTTTGACTCGTGAATAAAAACTTAGGACGGGGCTGGAAAAAACCGCTCTTCGGCGATCACTGATAAGGCCGCGCCTACGTGCCACAACGCGATTACACGGAGTAAGCAGCTGTGTGAGAAAAGGACCATGAAGATATACCGTAATCCTAGGGGCTGTTCAAATGTCTATTAGCCATGAATTAAATTTTTTAGCGAAGAATGTTGATAGAAAAGTTTAAAGGGATAGCGATGGCATAAGTAATCGGTGACGCGATAGAAAGAAAATGTCTCTGTGTCTCGCCCCCTGGACGCCTTCTCTGCCCTGCTGGCTAAGTGCCAAAAAGTCGATGAGGGGTGATCGCCCAATGCCGTCGGTATCCCTTTAACGTGGCGCCTACTTGGTGTCACTCTCAAAACGTGGACTTTACATCCAGCTGAACAAGGTTAGTTTTAGGATTTGGTCAATCCGATAAATGTGTCTAGAAATCTACTTGGTAACGTGTCCGCTTTTGAGGAATCGCTAATCTTTCAACAAAATGCTATTTTCAATTACTTTAACGGTTTCCGTTTATGTCTTGTGCTTTGAGGCTACAAGGTGTTGTTGATGTGTTGTTAACTCTCGGGGCTGGTAAAAACCAACGCGCCTAACCATTCTTTGATTTTACGTCCAAGAAGTCGGAGATTTTTCCGGTGCTAGCCACCCTGATTAACTCCATTTATCCCCTTGCGCGTTTAATCGATCGTTGGGAGCCTGACTCACATCTCGCCCTCCTTCCAGGCTTGGCTATTTTCCATGTTTGGCTTTCAACTTTCGATTTTCGAGGTGAGGGCTGGCTGATGGGAGGCAGGGCAACACGCCTGTAGATCCGATGCTCAGATTGTTGGACGCTCCCCAAATATCTGGATCCCCAAACATCTTCTTTCTGCGAGAGCATGTTTCCAATCTATTAATGAAGAATTTGATTTTTTTACTACTTACTTTTTTTAATTTTTATTACTTTTTCCTCTTGTTCTTTCCTGTGGTGCGTCGTCATTTACTTAATTTTCAGGCTACTGTCTCGTCCTGGATAATTTTACCAAATTTCACGCCTTCAACGAGAGGCGGTGTTCTAGGACTTGGTGAAGAAATTTGACTGTAAGTTTAAGGCTCGCAGGCTTGCAAATTGTAAATTAATACTAAAAGTGCAATCACAATTTCTTCTAAATTATAAGAAAACATCTTTTCATCGGTTTTGATCCGCGTTCGGCATTTGTACACCGCGTGCAGCGGTCTGCTCATTTCAAATCCTATATTTTTCGGAGACTTTTCTCATTTTGTTCAAAATCATTTTGTCGAAACCTCATTTTATCGCAGCCTCAATGTGGTGAGATTCCAATTTGGAAGTTTCTGATATATAATCGATGCGAACATGGATTTAAACCCTTCTACAAATTAAATTTTCATGTTTTTCAATGTATACAAAATTGAAATCCCGACAAAATGATATTACGACAAAATTAATTTTCAACAAACCTTTAACAAGTCATATTATTTAATACGGCTCTTTACATAAATATTTGTCAAATCCAAAACTTCAAACAAAAAACGGCATCCCTAAGAAACCAAGCTCTATCTGTTTTTTAGGTCATTGCGATGCAACAGCAACCGTCGACGATTTTCTACTGTTATTCGAAGGTAAGGAGAACTACGGCATAGATCAGAGAATCTTATCTAGGGTCAAAAAACCGATGGGTCAAGTCTAGCTCTTCTATCGAACTCGATGATCGAACAACAGGATTTGCTTTTTCTCCAGAAGGACAGAAAACCCCCAGGCTTTAGCAAGGCACAACCCAAGTTTATTGCAGAAAGTTTGTGCTTCTAGGAAATCGATGCTATTTTTCCAAAAATATATTTTTGTATACTTTATTATCTCGTCAATTATCCACTTTATTGGTCGGCAAGAATCCCTTGTATCTACCCTTCTCCCTGATCTAGCGGAACCCTTTTTGGTACTGAACAAATTTTGCCTTCAAGCCATTTGAACTTGTAGTAGCAGGTATTTTTCAATGCAATTATATACCGCTAAACAGTGCGTAGGCAAACCTTTTGATTTTTTTCCTATCAACGCGCAGAACGTTTAGTAGCAAGTATCTACTACCGAATGATATTATACCACTGCGCATTCATAAGATTCTTTTTAACAAAATTAAAGGACTGGCTTTTATGGGCTTAACATCAGTTTTAATGAAAATATTACGAAGCAACGGCTCCTAATGAGTTCGGGTTCTAGATGGCCTTCGAAAATCGATGTGCGGAAGCTGGCCGGTTAACCTAGGTATAAGAATTTTGATCGCGTTTTATTTATTAGCCATTTAGTTTAGTTGATTAGTTATTTATGGGTTTCTAAAAGGTAAATTAGGTTTTAATGAAAAGGGCAAAAGCCTCAATCGAGGGGTGTTTTTTGTGCCGAACACACAACGCGGCACGAACTAGATTTTTAGTTTAATTTTATAACATGACTTTTGTCGCTGAGGTCGATGAAGACTAATCTAATGCAGCTTAAAACCTTTTATAATATGAACTGGTATTCCGGAAATTGAATGCGCAGAGGGCAATCAAAAAACTGCCGCCGAACGGCCGCGGCTCCGAATTTAGGTAGGTAAGGAGATGCTTCTACCTCCCCATTACTGTGCAAGGCGGCAACAAAAATACAAACGCCAAAATTTTTGCTATGGGCGAAGTTGTATTGAAAATACTTTGTTGAAGAAGAATTTATTTGGCCTGAGAGTAAAATTGGTTAGGTGGCCTAATCGTTTTGCAATAGATCAGGAAAAATCGGAAAATTTTGGGTTCCCTGCGCTACAAACGAACCGTTACAGCAGTTCTTGTTTGTGTATCATTCTAACCACTTCGATCCTTTTTAACCAATGCAATCGTCGTCCAGAAGAAAATCCCAATCTTCTTGGAAGTAGCGGGTAGCTTGTGCTCAAACCTTGATTTTCAGGATATTCTCAATAGGGGCTAATTGTGAGGCCCTCCAAAATCAGAACGATCCAAATACATACCGCCAATTTAATCTCCAGAGCTTTATCATTAGAGCGTGTTTGAATGCCTGATGAATAAATAGTGTGGAGACATACCGCTTTAAATGCATGATAGATCTGAGTTGCAAACATCCAATGACTTTCTAAAATCTGCGGAAATGGAAAAAGGCTACTTCAACAACAATTTTTTTATGATTGAGGAAAAATTACATTGCCACGAATGGTTATGAAAATTACAGTATCTAATTTTATGTGAGCGCTATTGGTAAAATCAGATAGACATAAGCAAACTATTCCAATTTTGTTATTTGCGCTCGAAACAGCCTGCCTTTCCGAACGCCTGAACAAGAACCGGTGTTCCTACCTCCTGCCCCCCCTTTCCGGAGTTTTTTGGATACCCTCGTGTTGCGAGAGCCTTTCAATTCCTGCCCAGAGAGTTTGCTCGAGCGCGGACCAGTGGTAGCATTATATCGATTCTCTAGACGCCAGAATATTTTTCTATATAAGGTTCCAAAATCTGTTTTCAATATAATTCTGAAGACTTTATTGCCTTAATTAACTCTCTCTCACTCTCTCTCTCTCTCTCTCTCTCTCTCTCTCTGTCTCTCTCTGTCTCTCTCTCTTTCGCTCTCTCTTTCTCTCTCTCTCTCTCTCTCTCTCTCTCTCTCTCTCTCTCCCTCTCTCTATCTCGCTCTCGCACTCTTTCATTCTCGGTCTCTCTCATTCTCGGTCTCTCTCTTTCTCTCTATATCTCTTTCTCTCTCTCTCTCTCTCTCTCTCTCTCTCTCTCTCTCTCTCTCTCTCTCTCTCTCTGCTCTCTCTCTTTCGCTCTCTCTTTCTCTCTCTCTCTCTCTCTCTCTCTCTCTCTCTCTCTCCCTCTCTCTATCTCGCTCTCGCACTCTTTCATTCTCGGTCTCTCTCATTCTCGGTCTCTCTCTTTCTCTCTATATCTCTTTCTCTCTCTCTCTCTCTCTCTCTCTCTCTCTCTCGCTTTCTCTCTCACTCTTTCTCTCTAGCTCGCGCGTTATTATTCCACCATGCTCTTTTATGAGACGCCAGTCCATTTTATTAAATTAGATCTACGATACAGTGATGAAAAATGAACGTTAAAAATAGTGCGTGAGCAATTATTTTACTTACTTATTATTTCCTGTGCATTCTCGCCACCATTATTTAGGTTTGTCGAACACCTATTTTTTTAGGTGTCCTTCAACTTGCGGCAATTTCTCCAATGCCGATGCCTTCCATGAAAGGCAACTTCTGATCCAATTAACGTTAAGTATTGTCAAAGTAAGGTTAACAACGTTAGTATCACATATTTTTGTCTAGGGTTGACAAGAGGTGGCACAGTGTTCGGCTCCGTTCGATTCCGTAAAAACGCGGTATTGGAATGAACATCCTGGCGATGCTCATTTTCGTCAACCACTTTCAATAAACGGAAAATGGAAGAAAACCAAGAGCTTGAAAGAAAAATGCACGTATGCCTGGAACAATGTTTCTTCTGCGGCGTATATGGACTCGCTGCATGCGGATGCCAAATTACGGAATGAAATATGCGTCAAAGAACACCATCTTGAAAGCCGATTGCAGGTCGTCGTTTTTTCAGATATTACGTAATTGGGTTGTCCCGCAAGTCATCCCCATAAAATGGAGGTAACCAGAAGAAACAGTTAGAAAAGCAGGCAAGTGGCTATATATGAAAGAGAAGACTTGACAAGGCCTCAGAAAACTCGACGGTTCTCCAAATCCTCAGTATAAAGCTCTAGGGGACTTCTATCTCGACAGTAAAAATCGGCTAAATGCACCACTGCTTCCAGCAAAGCCTCGATCATTGCAAGGCATTATGCACCCCTTCAAGAACTATCAGTGCTGCTTTTGACAAGCAATGTGTCTTATACATTGGATCCCGAAGCCCTGCCTTCGCCAGGAATATGGGAATAGAAGTCACGTTTAGACCGCGCCTTCTTTCTTAGACAAAACTCGTTATGTTTGTCACACTCAAAACGTTTTTCCTAAAAATTAAAGGGTAAAGGCCATCATCCTTTAGTCCAACCTGCATTCCAGTTGAGTGACCTGCAACCATCATCAGCAGTGATAGGGGTATTCGGCAGAGTCCGCACAAAAACAAGAACAATCGCGAGGAGCGGAGCAAGAAAATCACCCCCAAGCTGCCGTTGCAAAGCTTCATGTTTTGTGGCAGCTGGAAAAAAAAGATGTTGCCCGAGACTGCCCAAAACCACCGGGCGAAGTGGATGTTTTACGCATAACATTTTTTTGTATGTGATGAAAAATACTGCGCAAAGCACTTTAAAACGCACGAATGAGATTTATGCCATCTATCGTTTTTGTCAAGCTGCGGACCGGACATGCCGCCGTAAAGGACTAGCACAAATGTAGTAGAGTTCTATGCTCCATGCTCAAGGATGAAGGAGGTCAGGCAGCAGTGCAAGCAGCTCTTGACCAACCTGGCCCCAAGCGCAGGAACCAAAAAAAAACGCAACGACCTATCTATAAAAAAACCATAAAAAAATAGACCTTCTATCATTCGTATTTTTTTTTGAGCTTCGTTGTAATCCTTTCTCTGCTTTATGTCTCCGCGCATATCTGAACAATCAAATCTGTTCTTGTTATTGTTATTGCTTTACCGTCCCGCAGAATAAAACCCTACCCCCACGTTATCAATCCAGAGCTATGTCATACATCACAACGCGCACACCAGCAACGACAGGGACAACGAAAACATTAAGTAAATTTGTGGTGCCGGATGACTAAAAGCACGATAAGAGCAAATAAAGACGCGGATAAGCAAAAAAACGGGCTGCGCGGTTGGCATTTTCGGGATATGCAAGGCCTGTAGAGATTTCCAGAATGAAGTCAGGTGTCAGAATAGCAGAGGCGTATTGCACCCACAAGTCGTTTTTTAGTCTCGTCGGGGCTTCAAGTTGGGACCAAGCTTAGCCTCTGCAAAATTTTTCTGTGATTCCTAATATCCTTACGAAAATTCTTGCGGAATCACGATCTTGCCGAAAATTATTCCCGATTTAATTCGGAAAAAACCATAGAAAGTGGCTTATTTGTGCCTGGCGGTTGCTCGGCCTGTTTGTTTCTTGCTCAGCCTCTTGTCGTTGATTCAGCCAATCAACCTGCGAATAGTCTTTTGTGAAATTTTGCCCTTGCCTGTTCAGGCCTAAAAACGGTGCGATTTTTCAGGATAACAACCGTTTATTAATTCATTACATTTCGAAGTGGTAGACAAGACCCCCAAAACTTTGTGATGGTTGAAACTGCAGAACAGGCCAAACACTCAGAAATTAAAAATTTGGGCTAGAACGAGGTGTTGAATGTGAAACGTTTTGGCACAAAAGTAAATTTGAAGCCTTCACGAGTTCAAATCTAATCAATTAATTCGTCTTTCGTTCAGTGGCTGTTAGATTGAGCTCTTAATTGCTCCCCAGGCCTCGATCGATTGAGTGTGAATGCAGGTTTATCTGAAAAGTTAATTTATAGCAAAAAAAAATTTAATTTCAGCGATTTGCAGCGTAAATTTGTGGTCAGCATTTCACTACACTTTCTCGTAGAAGCTGGCAAAAAAGGTAGCGAAAAAATTTTGCATCATAAAGCATAATAAATCAAGTTATTTTAAATGAATTATTGAAATAAGAATAAATATTAATATAAATAAATTTTGGTTAAAGGATCCAGGATACTTTAGCGATATTGGTGATTTGCCCATCAGCTTACATTTTAGTTGCTTCATAATTTTCCGATTGACTGCGTTGAAATAATTCGTTTTACCGTACGCAACCCATCCATCGGATATGATTTGCATGAACCTACAAAACTAGCAATTGTCTGATAAAAAGAACCAGATTTTGTTGAAATCGTTGGCTCACCTCAAAATCGACATTTTTCTCATCAGCCATTATAAAAATCAGCATGTTGCTCTCAATCTAGAAGAAAGCGATACATTGATTGTAAGCGCCAAACACAGACCATGCCAAATACCCAGTATCGCTTTCTATTTAGCTTCAAATAAAATTGAGTGTTTTTTCTGTTCGCTGTAGAAGAAGTATCTTTCGTCTATTTCGAAGCATATTCTGAAACGATAAACTAAGGTGTGACTGATCTATCTGGTGAGTTGATTTTTTCGAGACTCACCCAGGTATAATTATATTCTTTCTCCTCTAGAACATCCGTCCTCTATTGTGTTTGGAGTTACAGGGTAATCCTTGATTGACTCCACGATTCCAGTTTTAGCTAACGGCTCTTTAACTATCTGAAAATCCAGATCAAAGTAAAATTACACTTTAACATCACTTACAATTAGTCTAGTCAAATTATCGTCTGAATTAATTCAGCTTGCTCATTAAAGGCCCTGTATCAGAAATAGCATGAAAAGTTTTCAAAGTCTGTCATAAAACGAAATCTTGAAAATTATATTTTATTCAGTCTTTAGAAAATTTACTATAATAAATTAGCAATGTATGGGATTTGCAGATACCTGACATTTTAAATGCAGCATAATTTCCCCATCGTCCGCATTGGCTTCATTAATTTTACCGTACGCAGCCCAGCCGTCCGAGATGATTAGCGGTTACTTAAAAGAATAGCGATAAAATAGGATAGAAGACATCCAAATTTGCATAAATCGCAAACCAACCTTGTACTCATTTTTTCAGCAATGATAAAGATTGGCATATTGCTCTCTATCTAAAAAGAAATTGTCTGAAACGTAAAATACTGACCATTCCGAAGACCCAGTAGGACCTTTTTCCATTCAATAAAGATCGGTATTTTTGGCGTTCTTGATAGAAAAACTGGCTTTCGTCTATTTCGAAGCGAGTTCTGAAACGATCAATTAGTACACATCATAAAGTCAATTCCAATTTTGTACTGTAGCTAATGAGACCTAACGACCCGATTCAACCTGATTTCCATTCTGTCGTAATTACGTTGTCGAAATTTCGTTTTTTCCATATTTCATTGTCTCGAAATTTCGACAACAATTTTTTTGGTCATTAAATAGGTTAGACTGATGTGGTCAGGATGGCTTTTTAAAATAGTGAAGTTTCGACATTATCCTTTTCGACAAACTGAGATTTCGACAAAATAACTTTCGCTGTTTAATAGCAAATCCCTATTAAAACCTTGTTAGTCGGCTAGAATAATTTTGACATAAAAATAATTTGCGAGTAGCTTACAATAAATTTCCACATTTGCCGTTCAATTAATGATGTGACGCCGATTCCGCGTTAAGCTGCCCAGCCGTCCGATACATTTTGACCTACAAATTTTCAATTCAGCCCACTAATCGAAACCCTCACCGTTCGCCAGATCTTGGGTGCAAAAAAACAAAACTATATTTCGCCAAAATCAAATTTCGACAAAAATGATTTTCGACAATAGAAATTTCGACAAAATGATATTTCATCGAAATCAAATTTCGACAAAATGATGTTCGCCTCAAACCGATACCAAATGAAAAAAATTTAATCTACTAGGCCTTACAAGAATATAACGTAACACTTACCATATCAAGCCGTTTCAAACATATCAACCATTATCATTTCCTCTTCATTGAATCGAAATCCGATCGCACTCCGCCGTAGCTTAAACGAAATTGGTTCTACGTGACTCCGCTATTGCTCACCTTTACAGGAAGGCGAGGCAGGTTCTTCAATTTTTTCCATTTTCCGTTGGTTTTGCATTTCATGCTGGCTCGAAGAACATTGATTCATCGATTTCGACATCTCCTGAAGCGGTTAGATACTTCTGGTGCTTTTAAGTTATGAAAAAGAGGTAATGCCGCCCTACTGCCCTCTATGAGGACATCCAAATATTTCAAGCCATATGAATTCATACATACATTTTCATTTTCCTTTCTCCGATTATTTGTGCTTGTGGACGTTCGAAGAAATACGATTCGTCTATTTCGACGCGGTTTCTGAAAGATCATGAAATTCCAATAATTTTTGAGCTGGGACTTATTTTTAGAACACTCTAATAAAGTGAAAATTTCTAGTTAAGCGCTAAATCTAGTCAATAGCATGTAAAATCGTCACCTCATTATCTTTGTCAATTTCCAGTAGTAAGAACTCTTGAGGCAAATAGACCACGGTTTCGTCGCCTAGAGTGAAGAACCAGTTCACCCTATTATTATATCGTAGCAAGCCTGCATAGTTTGCTGGTAGGTCTGAAATATCTGACATAGCTTCCTACTGATAAGTACCTCAGAAAGGAAAAACATCCCTTACTGTAACCCCGTGTGGACCCACCATGTAGAATTAATTTTTTTTTAACTTTTTCTTTGAGCATGCTTCCTCTATGGTGTTTGGCTTTGCCGCTTCTCCTATTCCCATTCCGCTGTTTTCTAAAAAAAGTTGATTCTAGCTTCATGAAAAATCAACTTACTGAAACGCGAATCCAAATAGACTACGCTGTCGTCTCCGCTTACGAAGATTTTTTCAAATCCTGTTTTTGAACATTCATCCTCGATTGTGCTTGGCATTACAGCTTGCTCGTCTGATTCGGATTTTCCTAAAAAGAGTCAAGGAAAACTGCGGCACCAAAGCTTTATTGTAACTTGTTAAAAACCATCTGATGGGTTAATGTTTTTCGAAACCCACCAAAGTAAAATTAAATTCTTTTTCTTCAAGCACACTGGCCCTTGTTTGTTATTGGCAATACAAAGACGCGTCAATGTTGAGCTTCTAGAAAAGGGTAAATAAAAACAGATCCGGGGTAGCTTTGCCAATAGTGATTATGTTTTGTTCATGTTTTTATAACAGCTTTTTAACATCTAAAACCCACATTGCTACCTTCCTGATGAGCATTCGTCTGCGGTGATGTTTGGTTGGCAAGGACACCTAAAAAGTGCAAATTAACGTGGATATTGCACGATAAATTGCCGGGTGAATTTTTGTCGCAAAATTGTGTCAGCTGGTTCAAACCCTTCGAGAAATTTTTGTGGCTGAGCCGCGGTGGGCAGTAATCTCACCTGTGGAACTTTTTCAAAATTTCCCCTCCTTGAGCATTCTACCGCGGTGATGTTTGGCAGGTTTTTTTTGACGGTTATTAGTGCCATTGCTCCTAGAAATACAAGTCAGAAAAGATTATGATTGAAAATGTAAACGACTATATTTATTCCGCCCTTAAAATCGACTTACCATGTTAAACAGAGCCAAGTGAATTCGTGTTTCCCGGTATCTATTTTGAAAATTGTTGGTTAAACAGATATAATCAATCTGTTTTGCATCAGCTGGCTGACGATTTGGCCAGCATAATCCTATGCCCTTTGTTCGAAGGCATGAACTTGGAGAAATCACACAAGTCGAAGCTTGGCCTAAAAATTTGACTAATTAAAACAAAGGGCAACGAAAAGACGGAAGAAAAATACCGCGTAAAGCAAAGAAAAATTTCACAAAGTTTTAATAACAGCTTAGTGAAACCATCCTGTGAAAGAAACGACAATTCGCCGATATGGATCGCACATTTGCGTCTACTGACCTGATAAACCGATAGCCCTACGCGCGACAACCCCATTACACCATCTAATCGACCGGGACGGACAATACACGGAACTCTGGATGTTCCGTGTTTTGCTATGACGTATCAGCCAATTGTTGTTAACGCTAAATTAAAGACCTACTTAGGAATTTCGATTTTTCGACGCCAAATTTCGAAAATAGTGCATATCTCATTCATCTTTTGATCCCGATAAAAAGTTGACCATATAACCAGTCATACTCTTTCTTTTCCGGCTTTTCCACCACGCTCCAAACTAAATTTCCTCGAAGTTGGCAAAAAAAATACAATTAATGTTTTCAGTTTGCTCCTCAACTTGCGGCGATTTCACCAATGCTTGTGCTTTCCGAGAAAAAGCATGCGATCTTCATGAAGCTTGTCAAGAATTAATGATTCTTCAAAAAAATGGGTTTCCGAGGAAATTTTTGCAAACTTGGCAGGTACCTTTTCTTTTGAACTTTGCCTATCGGACTCCGAGTCTTGCTTTAAAAACGAAAGATGATGCGGCATAAATTCTACTAATATAAAATATTTTCAGCGAACCTTCCGCGTCCTGCAATGGGCACTGACAGACTTCTTTTAAATGGTTGAAAAGAAAAAGGTAGGCCAAAAAAGACAACCAGTGGAATGTGATTTAGGTATGTGATTTGGATCTATTCTACTACTACGACTGCGGAAACGAGCGTCTAACCTAGCGAGAAGAAATCACATCGCATAAAAGTTCTGTGGTGTAAGGAAAATCGAGAAAATGTTGAAGCCACCTTGAAGCTAAAAGCTGTAAACGTCTCGAAAGCTGAAAATTTTTCTACTGGCCCTGGCACGCACTAGTGGATTACCTCGCTGCCGCAAAAATCCTTTCAAATTCACAAAAACATGACGACAGAGCCGGAGAAGAATGACGAATTTCTACGTAATTGCCTAGCCCAATGCGCGCGCGTTCGCAATTTTGGATGTATAACCGGAAGAAACAGTTTCACGGGCTTATTCGACACAATCACTTCCCAATTGCTGTAAATATGTGTTTGGGACAAAGTCGTTGATGTCTACCAGGGTATAGGCAACGACGCCAATGCAAGCGAAAAGTCTTGGCGGCCGATAGAACTTACTTCCTATGGCACATTCAACGCTGGGACACTCAACTAATCAGTCAGGCACCGCTAAACGAAATTGAGTGGAGAGGAGTTTTTGGTTGTCAAAACTGGAGGATTGGCATACTTCAAAAAATTTGGAAGAATACCTGGCCGACCCACATCGCGGAATACATGTTACGGCGCGGAAAGGCTCGGCAGGAAACATCTGGACCGTAGCTGGGCCACTGTTCTCAGCAAATTGACGACTCCTTTCCACTGATACAACCATGTCGAGTCGTTGCGTTTTATGGGAGGTATGCTTTTACGCGTAGCCAACCTTTCGATTTTTATGCACCAATCAATTATTTTTTTCCAGGTTTCACGGTGCTGAGCCATTCGATCCATCAGCAAAATCAGCTGCAATCAATCGAGTGCTTTGATAAAACTTTTTCTGAATATGGACCTGCACATAAGCATACGTTAGCCAGCATACGAGTTCCGTTCTAAAACATTTAAGCGTATCTCGGCTATGTTATGTTGCACATCGTATTCTCCATCCAAAATTACATCGAAAAACGTTTCTAGATCGACGCTATATGCCTTGAATGTTTTAGATCGGAAAGTGCAATATCAGCCGAATCAGCATACGGTAGCCAGCATACGAGTTCCGTTCTAAAACATTTAAGCGTATCTCGGCTATGTTATGTTGCAGATCGTATTCTCCATCCAAAATTACATGGAAAAACGTTTCTGGACCGCTTCTAGACCCCTTGAATGTTTTAGATCGGAAAGTGCAATATCAGCCGAATCAGCATACGTTAGCCAGCATACGAGTTCCGTTCTAAAACATTTAAGCGTATCTCGGCTATGTTATGTTGCACATCGTATTCTCCATCCAAAATTACATCGAAAAACGTTTCTAGATCGACGCTATATGCCTTGAATGTTTTAGATCGGAAAGTGCAATATCAGCCGAATCAGCATACGTTAGCCAGCATACGAGTTCCGTTCTAAAAAATTGAGCGTATCTCGGCTATGTTATGTTGTACATCGTATTCTCCATCCAAAATTACATCGAAAAACGTTTCTAGATCGCTTCTAGACCCCTAGAATGTTTGAGATCGGAAAGTGCAATATCAGCCGAATCAGCATACGGTAGCCAGCATACGAGTTCCGTTCTAAAACATTTAAGCGTATCTCGGCTATGTTATGTTGCACATCGTATTCTCCATCCAAAATTACATCGAAAAACGTTTCTAGATCGACGCTATATGCCTTGAATGTTTTAGATCGGAAAGTGCAATATCAGCCGAATCAGCATACGGTAGCCAGCATACGAGTTCCGTTCTAAAACATTTAAGCGTATCACGGCTATGTTATGTTGCACATCGTATTCTCCATCCAAAATCACATCGAAAAACGTTTCTAGATCGCTTCTAGACCCCTTGAATGTTTTAGGTCGGAAAGTGCAATATCAGCCGAATCAGCATACGGTAGCCAGCATACGAGTTCCGTTCTAAAACATTTAAGCGTATCTCGGCTATGTTATGTTGTACATCGTAATCTCCATCCAAAATTACATCGAAAAACGTTTCTAGATCGCTTCTAGACCCCTTGAATGTTTTAGATCGGAAAGTGCAATATCAGCCGAATCAGCATACGGTAGCCAGCATACGAGTTCCGTTCTAAAACATTTAAGCGTATCTCGGCCATGTTTTGTTGCAGATCGTATTCTCCATCCAAAATTACATCGAAAAACGTTTCTAGATCGCTTCTAGACCCCTTGAATGTTTTAGGTCGGAAAGTGCAATATCAGCCGAATCAGCATACGGTAGCCCGCATACGAGTTCCGTTCTAAAACATTTAAGCGTAACTCGGCTATGTTATGTTGCAGATCGTAATCTCCATTCAAAATTTCATCGAAAAACGTTTCTAGATCGACGCTATATGCCTTGAATGTTTTAGATCGGAAAGTGCAATATCAGCCGAATCAGCATACGGTAGCCAGCATACGAGTTCCGTTCTAAAACATTTAAGCGTATCTCGGCTATGTTATGTTGCACATCGTAATCTCCATTCAAAATTTCATCGAAAAACGTTTCTAGATCGACGCTATATGCCTTGAATGTTTTAGATCGGAAAGTGCAATATCAGCCGAATCAGCATACGGTAGCCAGCATACGAGTTCCGTTCTAAAACATTTAAGCGTATCTCGGCTATGTTATGTTGTACATCGTATTCTCCATCCAAAATTACATCGAAAAACGTTTCTAGATCGCTTCTAGACCCCTTGAATGTTTTAGATCGGAAAGTGCAATATCAGCCGAATCAGCATACGGTAGCCCGCATACGAGTTCCGTTCTAAAACATTTAAGCGTATCTCGGCTATGTTATGTTGCAGATCGTATTCTCCATCCAAAATTACATCGAAAAACGTTTCTAGATCGCTTCTAGACCCCTTGAATGTTTTAGATCGGAAAGTGCAATATCAGCCGAATCAGCATACGGTAGCCCGCATACGAGTTCCGTTCTAAAACATTTAAGCGTATCTCGGCTATGTTATGTTGCAGATCGTATTCTCCATCCAAAATTACATCGAAAAACGTTTCTAGATCGCTTCTAGACCCCTTGAATGTTTTAGATCGGAAAGTGCAATATCAGCCGAATCAGCATACGGTAGCCAGCATACGAGTTCCGTACTGAAACGCTTAAGCGTATATGGGCTATGTTATGTTGTACATCGTATTCTCCATCCAAAATTACATCGAAAAACGTTTCTAAATCGCTTCTAGACCTTTTGAATGTTTTAGATCGGAAAGTGCAATATCAGCCGAATCAGCATACGGTAGGTAGCCAGCATACGAGTTCCGTTCTAAAACATTTAAGCGTATCTCGGCTATGTTATGTTGCAGATCGTATTCTCCATCCAAAATTACATGGAAAAACGTTTCTAGATCGCTTCTAGACCCCTTGAATGTTTTAGATCGGAAAGTGCAATATCAGCCGAATCAGCATACGGTAGCCAGCATACGAGTTCCGTTCTAAAACATTTAAGCGTATCTCGGCTATGTTATGTTGCACATCGTCTTCTTCATCCAAAATTACATGGAAGAACGTTTCTAGATCGCTTCTAGACCACTTGAATGTTTTAGATCGGAAAGTGCAATATCAGCCGAATCAGCATACGGTAGCCAGCATACGAGTTCCGTTCCTAAAACATTTAAGCGTATCTCGGCTATGTTATGTTGCACATCGTATTCTCCATCCAAAATTACATGGAAAAACGTTTCTAGATCGCTTCTAGACCCCTTGAATGTTTTAGATCGGAAAGTGCAATATCAGCCGAATCAGCATACGGTAGCCAGCATACGAGTTCCGTTCTAAAACATTTAAGCGTATCTCGGCTATGTTATGTTGCACATCGTATTCTCCATCCAAAATTACATGGAAAAACGTTTCTAGATCGCTTCTAGACCCCTTGAATGTTTTA